TGGTGGCTTCATCAATCTTAACGAAGTCATCAGCCGTTTCCTTGGTCACTATCTCCCAACCCAGATTATTCCTGTTGTTTGGGCCTTTGGTTTCATCCCTTTGGTCACAGCTATCAACTTCCATTTCGACACAGGTCTTTTGTCCGAAGCTGGTGATAACTTTCGCCATTACAACTTCGTCTATGGGATTGCCAACAACCTTTGTTACTTCGATTGAAAAGTCATAACCGTCGACAACTTCGAGCATATAATTAGCCTCGACTGGCTCTGTGTAATTTGCGTCTGCCGTTTGTAGAGGATCTGAGTCGACCTTCATTTGGCCACCAGCTTTCTCTCCGAACTTTAGACGTCCTTCTTGGATCGCATTCTGAACAAGGTCCCTGAAAAGAAAATATTGAGATGTTTTATGACCCAAGAAGTTATGATATTTACAAAACCCTCTTTTCTTCCTTTGTTCTATGGACGGCATTTTGGCGCCAGGAGGCACTATCATTTGTCCGTCTTTAACTAACAAATCGAAGATTTCATCACATTTTGTGATGTCGAAAGTATATGTTTTCTTTGGGAACCTATCATTCTTTTCAGATTCGACATAACTCTTCCCTTGTGGGGGATCCAATACTTTGCACAAGTAAGGTGGTTCTTGCTTGAGTTCGGCAAGGTCCACTTCGCCATCGTCGAAACCCACAGACTCATCATACAGACCTTCGACGTTATTATTATATTCGACAAAAGCTATCTTTTTATTTTTATTAAACTTAGCCTTCTCGTCTTTGAGTCTTCCGAGTTGTCGAACTCGATCGGCTAATTGGGCCATGTCCCTTAGGTACTGGGTATTCAACTTTTTCCTAATAGAGTAGTCGAGACCACCAGCGGACATTTCGACCAACTCATGTTCAGGGACCTGTGTGAAGCATCTGGCCTTAAGCAAACAGAACCTATTAAGGTACTCCTCTATTGACTCAGAAAACTTACGCTTCACACTAGCGAGTTCCTTTAAGCTAATTTTAGTCTGACCCATATAGAACTGTTCGTGGAACAAACGCTCTAACTGGGTCTAGTTACATACCGTGTTAGGGGGAAGCGTTGTGAACCAGATAAAGGCGTTCTTAGTAAGAGAACTTGGGGAGTATTTCATCCCAAGGCTTTCATCGTTCCCTATCTCTCCAGCCTCGATTAGGTAATGAGCCACATGTTCGACAGTGGATTCTGTCGTATCTCCTGAAAACTTAGTGAATTTAGGTACTTTCGTCCTAGGAGGTAACTCCGCCTAAAGGATATAGTCTACTATAGGTAATGTGTAGTTTGGCCTGGTGAAACCAGTGTTTAATCCATTTCTAGCCATAATTCTCTCGACCATGGCCGCTAGATTATTATCTACGGCCATGTTGTTTCGACGAACATGCCGGACTACATTATCTGCGTCTTGGTTTCGATTCACAACCACTACTCCTGGATTTCTTTCTCCCAAGCCACGAGGTTGGTTTTGCAAAGGCTCTTCCCTAAGCCCTTCGACTACCGGAGGGACTATCCTTCCTTGGTTTCCTACGTCGACTTCTACCATATTTGCCAAGTTGTCTCGTGGGACATCCACTACTGCGGCTTGGTTTCTGGTTAAGGGAGGTACCCTCATGAATTCAGCCAATCTCGTTAATTGTACCGCCAATTGTTGATTGGTCTGGGTTGTATTTTGGATTAATGGTTGAAATATTTCACCCATGATTTGTGACAAAGTCTGAACCATTTGTAGGTTACTTTCATACATCTGCTGTCTCAAACAAGCAACTGAGGTGTTGGTCAAATTGGGGCCTTGTATCGAATACCCTAAACTTTGTTTTTGGGGGTTTCGACCCATGTTCACACCTGACCCTGACCCTTGTAGCGGTGAGGCCATCGCCTGATCTGAGAATATAGGAGGTGCACTTTGGAGCCCTTACATCATAACAGTGGGCATCCCATATGAGGGGTTTCTTGGTGACTGTGAAAAACCAGGGGGCACAAACTGCCTGGACGTCGAACTTCCTCCTAACAAAATCTGAGGATTCGACGTTTGGTGACCAATGTATTCCAATACTGGCTGAGTATAAGGCCTTATCACTGTCGGTCCCACCCCAAGTATTGAAGGCATCTGTACTGGTCTTACTGGAAGCACCGTTTGCTCTCCCGTCGACGGTATCGGAGGGGGAACTCCCTCGTCTCTTATCCCTTCACTGGAACCGTCTCCTTGTTGGTTGGAGTTATCTGGATGGTTTGTATCTGTAGCCATGTTCTTACTGCTTCGTCTTGATCGCGTTTCTTCGTTTATAGTGGTAATTTTACCACTTCTTAGTAACATAAAAATGTACCTCTCATGAAAGGGGACCAGTATAACTGCAGAATTTTTATAAGTTTAGTTTTATAAAATAGATTCTCTAGCACTGTCGCACTGGGCGTGCCATTTTGTTTCCCTTGAAAATCGGAAAACAACCGCTGATCTTCCAAATCTAACTTTGGTGACTCACATGATCGATCAGATTGATCCTAAGACATGTGCTAAAAGATTTATTTTTGGTTTTAAGAGTTTATTCAAGTTCCACACTCGAACAATATTGGGGTGAAAGAATTCTAAAGGGACATCTATTCGACTACAGATGAATTTCAAGACAAAACAAAGCTTTTAATAAAGGAGAGGAAAGTTTGTTGGGAGAAAAGAAGTCAGATCGAGGACGAAGAGAAAAGAATTGCATAGGAAGGGGAGAAATAAAGTAAGGAGGAAAAGGGGTAAAGACAATATAAGACTTTGTAAAACTTAAAGTAAAAACAAGTAAATTGCATTAAGTTTAAAAAATGGTGTGTTTACATCACGTACATTCTCTTACAATACTCGCTTTCTCTACACTCGGATACTTGGAGTAATTTCAAGAGTAATTTGCACAATAGTAAATTACAACACACCTTGGATATGTCTAAGACACCCTATTTATAGTAATAAAATATAACCTCTCATAACCTCCACCGTAATCTCCTTCCGCCATTTGTCACAAATGCATGGATCTATTACTCATAAGGTGACACGTGTCTCCCTCAATATTCAACAAGCCAAACCGTTCCCTCCAATATTTAAATTTCAAATCCTTCGACAAACCATTCTTCTCAGTAGGCGGTCGAACCATTGGCTTCTGGGTGAGTCCTTCGACTTGGCTACTTTGCTTCTTTCGACCATTCTTTTGGTCTCAACCTATTTTTTACCCTTTTGTCTTAAACACCTTCTTTCTACCCGAGGCGTCGAATTTAGGAGCTAACAGTATGCAACATGTTGTTCGTATTTAACTAACAGAGATGTATCATACGGTCCTCCTGGATATCCAACCGGCTCGGATGCTGATGCAGATGCATCAAAATGCTCTTCTTCAGCCATCCTCGATGACTTGCCTCGTCCTAGTCCACAAGGGATCCTACCATCTCTGCCTCGTGTGCGCACCACTGGAAAAAAAATATAATTAAAAATTAAAAAATAAATAAATAAATATAATTAGAAATTAAAAATTAAAAAAAAAACAATGAACCGGAAGTCTTCAAGAAAGACTTTCGGAGATGAAACAAAAATTTGTGTGAACCGGATGTCTTTAGGAAAGAGTTCCGGTGAATAAGCAAAAACAAAATACAAACCGGAAGACTTACTCTTAGAGTTCCGGTATGTATTGCAAATGAAATGTGTTCCGGAAGTGTTTGTATAAGTGTTCCGGTTTGTAATAAAAGTGAGAGCACTCCGGAAGTCTTAAAATGGAAAGTGAAAAATGGAAGTGAAAATGAAAAAATGTTAAAATTATAGATATTTAACTAAGGGTATTTTGGTCCAATATTTTTTAGTGTAGGAGTGTGGGTATAAGGGTAGGGGTGTGGGGTAAAACTTCCAAGAATGACCCAACCCTTCAACAATTAATTCCAATACAATATTCATTTAATTAAATAAATGTTAATTAATATAATAATTATATATATAATAAAATAATTAATTAAAGTAAATCCATTATAGATTTAACAATATACACTATATATTTGGCTTTATTTTTATTTTATTTATTACTCAACATGACAGCATGAACATGTCCTACTTAATAGTGTATGATTTTTCATCCAATCATATATCTCATAAATATGAAGGAGTCAAACCAAACATCAGGGTGCAGATATTTAACAAGATAATATATATGACCAAATGCAACTGGAAACTACAGTTGAAAACAACAGTGCTATTTTGTCTCACTCAACCAATGTGTTTTGGGATGATAACAATCTGTCACCAACCAACTATTGACAATAAATACTCATTGCTTTTCTATATTTTCTCAACATCCACCTGTAATTAAGTACTACACAATCATGTATTAATTATGGTTTTCTTTGCTTCAAGGGTCAACAACTACCAGTCCTCTGGTCATGTGTTATCTAACAGCTTTCTCAACCTTCCTCTGCTTTGCCTTTTTTTTGTTGTTGCCAGTAGCTATGCAAACTCATGCTCTAAGAGTGCATATGACATGTCTTTTGTTTCAATACCATACATGTGATTTTAGACAGTAACGTTTAGCAACGGCTTAATGATCATGTTTCATTCGAAAATGTTAACAAACTATGTTGATTTCTTTACTTAAGAATTTTTTTCAGCTCGTGCCTAAAATTTGTACACTTTGAGAGATATGCACAAACTCATGAGACTTTGTACACTTTGGGGTTTAGAGTCACAGAAATTTCTTTTTGTAGAAAAACCATTAGACTGATATGCACAGTAAAATGTGAAACCATTACACAATTACAAGACAAACCCATCTTATCTTCCAACAAACATCCTAAATAAACCCCAAAGTCTGCTAAAACCACAGACTTTTACCTTATATTACAGTAAAGCCACGCCACTGCGATAAAGAATGATATAACTTGAAGAATTAAATGTACATGTCAATCCTAATGGAAATGTTCAAAAAAATCTATGAGGAAAGATGAACTGATAAATAATCAATTAATTAGATTAAGCTAGTAAATGACGAGGTCAACATGTAAGGAAAGACTCCTGGCTCCCGTTGCTTTGCAAGTTCATGAATGTCCCTCACGATCTCAAACACGGCCTCTGGATTTGCTAGTTTAAGTGCATTCTCTGACATTTTCTTTAGATCATCTTGTTTTGTACTGAACCATTCAGCCACAATTCGCGCTGTTTCTTTAGCACTACGCGTGAAGACACCAGCTCCATTGTTTACCACATAAGGCACATTACCCTTTTCCTGTAGTTACCATAATAGCAGAAAATCAATATAAAGATGGAATGAAAAAACAAACAGAATAACAATGCAGAAAACGGTTGAATAACTCACCTGTCCGGGAATATAGTCATTGAGGATGATAGGAAGACCTCTGATCAATGCTTCTGCAATTGTACCTGGTCCAGCCTGAAAATATCATAGAATCAATAAGCCTGTGGTAACATATGAAACAACACATAAAAGAGAGGTTTTTCAATCGCGTTTTTTGATATTGTATATAATTGCAGCCAAATGCAACTGATTCAGGCTCAATCGCAACAAGACATCAAAAACTATAATGTTGCGTCCTAGATCCCGGTTGTGCCTTTTTTCAAAACTGTGCATAAAAGATTATTAGAGAAAATCAGTATAACTTACTTTCGTTATGATGCAGTCACATGCTCCCATCCATTTGGCCATTATCGTCTCAAATCCTCTAACCTACACAAACAAAGAAACAAAATTTCAGTGACTGTCTTACTACTATGCTCACATGTAATTAACTCATTACTTATCAATTATTACCTTTACTGGAATTTTCCATTCGATAGCTTCCACGGAAGCTACTAAACTCTTATTTCGACCACAAATGACTACAATCTGCCCGATTGGTTTCTCAGTTTCTTTATCATAAAGTGATTCTGCAAGAGCCTTTGCGGTTTTCTTGACAGGACCCATTCCTTCCCCACCTCCCATCAGCAAAACTGCCGGCAAGTCAGGATCCATCTCAAGTTCTTCTCTTAGTTGAGCCTACAATTAAAAAAAATCAGTTCCAATGTTCCATCAAAGAGATCAAAACAGAACTTAGTCACACCTTCAAAATGCTCAATACCTTAATAAGAACTGCGCGAGCGAAAGAAGGTCTTATAGGCAAGCCATATATTCGGGTTTGAGATTCTAAAAGTCCCTCTTGTAAGGCTTTATCCGCCACTTCTTGCGAAGAGCAGTAACATCTATTCACCCAAGGATGAAACCTGCAAAAAGCTTTAAAATTTGAGTACTTAAAAACATAAACTAATTGACTTTAAAGCAAGAAAATCGACAAGCTACAATGAACCAGGAACTCACCAAGTAGGATGGCAGGTACTAAGATCTGTGATAACAGTGACAAAAACAACTTTCTTTTCCAAACCTTGCCATTTCAGAACCCATAGTGGAATATGTTGCATCAAGGGATGAACACTAATTATAATATCTGGCTTGTATTCCATCAACCCCGCCTCCACCTCTCTGAAAATGAGACAGTACAGTTTCAATCAGAAAACTCCACTCATAATTTCATAACTATAAAATGTCCAATTAACTACATAACTCAGTAATTGATATTGATATTCCAATACATTATCAACCTATGTTGCACCGACACCTCTGAAAAATAGTGTCCGTGTCGGATACCGACACTTATGATTACCTTTAATTTATTCATTTTTCAAATTATTATTGGTATTGCTGTATCGGGGTGTGTGCTTCATAGTTCTCAACTAAAGGGGAAAAGCATTAGAAAAGGAATATACCTGGCGTAGTAGGCGGCAACGGCAGCCAAGTAGACAGAGTGGATCCATTTGGGAGAAGTGCTATGAAACGCAACCTTCCATAACTGAACATGCTTAACCATGAATTTATATTGACCCTCCATATCATTCAATGGCCACCCTGTATACTCCTTCCAAACATCTTTAACAAATATCTGAAATTTCAAAATCAACATATCAACCTATACTTCATGTTGAAACAAAAGCTATGATATGACAGATCCAAAACAAGTTTAGATTGAACAAATTAAGAAACACCTCAAAAACACAAGTGTGATTATAGTACCTACCTTGTATTCATCACCATATTCAATTTGAAAAGCATCACGAATAGCTTCAGCAGAAGCTCTATGTCCACCACCAGTATCACTCATGAGAATCAACACATTTTTTGTTCTTTGTCCTCCAATCTCCATGAGTTCCACGCCACCTTCGTTATCTTCATTTAAGGAACCCTTACTTTCACTACGCTTCTTGAAACTTCCACTCCCTGAATTCGATACTCCAAACACCTTTTCCACTATAGACTTTCTCGGTGACAACTTTTTCGGTGACAAAACTTTAGACTTTTCCGGGAATACATAGGAAACCTTTTCCGGTGGCATTTCTGAAACCTCCATGTCTCCGAAAAGGCACAGAGGAAGAAAAATATAATATAATACAAACAATACAACAAACACCTAACGGTCAAACAGATAAACAAACCTCTCCGGCCACCGAAACAAATTTCTCCGGCGGAGGAAAGAAAGTGTGGTTGAGGAAGAGAAGAGAAAGTAGAAAAAAAATTATTGGTGGAAAATTAGCGAAATACTAGGTACGAAAGAGAGAGTTCACAACCTTTGAGTTTTGTCCCAATGGGTGTGGTATAAATGTGAGGTAATGCTAGAATTATGCCATGGAATTTTTTTTGTGCTTAGGTAGTTTTCAACCGTTGGATTCGATGTTTTTTGTTTGTGAAGGAATGTTCTGAGGGGAAGATTCGAATCTTTGAGTTATTGTTTTTTTTAGAAATTTCAGAAACAGTAGTGTTGTGTTGCTGAGTTGTTCAATCATTTGTGGCTCTTTGTTTTTGCTGTTGTGTCCTTTTGGTTTTGCGTATTTGCATTGTGTGTTCGGGTGGTTTCGTTTTTGATGGTAATATACCTGATTAGACTTTTTTGCCCCCTTCTGTGTACGTTGTTGTCCCTTGCTTTAAACGAGGCATGGACTAAAAGGGAATTTTGTGTGCAAAAAGTGGTGTGATTGTTCTTTAGTTAAAAAAAAGAATATGTTTATTAATCAATCTGTATATATATATATTGAATGCCGGATTGACACTATTTTAATTGATATTTTTAAAATGACGATTTTTAATCATTTTAAAATATTTTAATTTAATTGGTATGCACTAATAATAAAAAATAATTTTATATTATTATTTAATTAAAATTTATAATATGATGTAGTAAGATATATAAACCGTATAAAAAATATATCAATTAAATTTTTAATAAAATTTCATGTAAGACCTCAAACAATTTGAATTTACGAAGAAAAATAAAATTTGAAGGCGAAAAATTTATTCTTTCAATTTTATTAAAAATAATTTAATTCTTTTAATTTAAGAGTATAATTCAATGTAGTTTATCTACTTTCTTTTTATAAGTATTTATGAAAATCAATGAAAAATATCTACATACTCCATATTGTTTTAAATAATTTTATGTTAATTAGGCAAACGTATAACTTTTAAATTTGTGCTGCTAAATTTGAAAAAGACAAAATTTATTCAAAGTTGTTTATTTTAAGATTAATTAATTTTATAAATTTAAAAGTTGACTTGAATATAGTACTAATACTGAAATAAAATCTAAGATTGTTTGTCTCTCTCTAATTAACCTCCGTGTTTATGGTCATTTTGTGTTCGGTTTAATGAACTTGTCTCATTATTTGAGCTAAATCATTATCATTAGTTTGTTTTTATTGAGTTTGTCTTAATGATAAAAAGTCTAACTAGTTTTTAAGTTTAAAAGAATTTTTACTTTTAAAGTTTTTCATATCACATCAATAAAGAAGTTTGTTTTAATTGTTTCTTAAACTTTATAACTTGTATTGTAGCTTAGGATTTTTTTTCAAAAGAGTTTATAATTTTTAACATTTTATTTTTCTTCAATTTGTATTTTTATTATTTTAACTAGAACTCCTTTTCTTTATATTTTATTTTCTCTTTGCTTATAAAAAAAAACTAAAACCCCTTTTCTTTATATTTTATCATTTATTATAATTTAAAATAAAATAAAAATATTTTAAATAAATGAATAGAAAGGTTAAATTTTATATCTAAAAAAAATTATGAATCTTTTACTTCAATTTGTTTTATCCTTCGTTTTCATTATACCTTCCTACATTTCTTTGACCGTCTATTCCAACATCGTTCTTTACTGTTGATCCCTTCTACTATGCCGTGCACATATAAAATTTAAATATATGAATTAATGCATTTTGATATCATCTATAATATTGCACATATATTTGAAGTTAATTACATATATTTATTATTATATTTAATTTTAAATAAAAATTAATTTAATAATAATATATAAAAGATTATATAATCATTAAGGTAGTAATTAAATAATGTTCTTTTATATCATTTACATTTATCAAATACTATAACCATTATTTATCAAACACTTCATTTAACTTATCAACTATCAGTCATCAATTATCAGCTATCAGTCATTAGTCATCAATTGTAAGCTATCATCTAGCTTATCAGATATCATCCATTTGTACCAAACTGATCCCAAGTCCTCTTAATTGAGTCATTGTCCGAGTTAGCATCGTATCAACAAAGTCTAGCTGGTCTCCAAACATAGGGTCGTGTCGACTTTGACACCAAAGGAGTTTGCCATTATCTCTGTGTGGCGGGCTCCTAAAACCTTGTTTAGAGTCGTTTAGAGCCCAATCATTTATGAGTGCTCTCTAAGTTGGCAAGGCTCTTGCTTGAAGTGCCAGTTTTATCAAGGCTAAGTGACCTTATGTAGAAAATAGATATATTGGTACACAATCTCCCAAACACGAGGCGTCTAAGGGTGAAGTGCCTTGAATGATAAACCATGACATTACGCATTCCACAAGCATGAAGGGTGTAATGGCGAAGATTTTTGGGTTATATGCCAAGACAGTCCCACAAACACGAGACGCCAAATGGAAAAGTGTTCTAAGGAGGTCAAACATTTCTCCTTGGTCGGGCTCTTTCTAATGGTCGATATTGGACTACAAGTTGATTTCCATTCAATCTCATGGTTATGGATTGTAATATACCGTGTATTTTTCTCTGCTAGTTATAATTTCTAAATATTTATATTAACTTGCTAAAATAATTAAAAAATTTCTTAGGAACAAACACGTCAGTATAAGGTTTTTAATCTTTCTACCTTCCTAGGTGTTATACCCCAAATTTGGCCAACCACTCTGGCATATGTATTATTTCATCTGCATCAACATAAGGCATAAAAACATTACATAGCATATTTTAATTTGCACTTTTACAGGGATATATGAAAAAAAAAAAGAGAAGAAGAAAAGAGATGTGTATTCAAAATATATGGAGAATAGGGAGGTCATTTTCCTAAGTAAAAAAAAATATAATTGAGACAAGTGCACAAGGTGGGGTTTGAACCCACCACCTCTTGCTCCACACCCCTCACCTTTACCACTCAGCCAGGCGCACATTTGTGAACAATAATGAAAAGGAAAACTATGTATTTTAAAGTATTGAAAATAAAGGCGCATGAATAAAAAGGTGGTGGATTTTGCTCACACCAAGATTCGAACTCGTGACTGTATGGTAAATGGGCGCATGACTTAACCACTGGGGTGGCGATACATCCAGTGATTATCCCACCCCAGTTTTGTTAAGTATCTTACTTTACTCCATATGGCTGGGCAAGCTTGAAGTATTTTGGCCGTGCGTGAAGAAGGGAGGAGAGGGCAAGACACGACCATTCTGGACGAGTCAAAGTTTTACTCCATCTGTTTTTTCACGAGGAGTATTTTGGTGTAGGTAATTTTCATGATTGAAGTAAGAATTCCAAGTTACAAGCCAAATTGCAATGTGGGGCATTTGTTCTTTTCATGAAGGAAATGGTACAGAACATTGCTGTTTCAAGACCAGCATCAGAGGGTACTTGCTCTGGGCGTTTTTGAATCCATTGCCAATCCGGGAAAGGGCAAGCAGCCTCTACACTAGGCCTGCTGCAGCCCTAGTTTGTCCCTACCTCTCCACTCCAACAAAAAGCAACAAGACAAAACTCAACAAAGATTTTTGAACTAGGAGCTGGGATATAAAAGGATAAGGTGGAGCAGAAAACCCTAGGAGCCACGTTTTTTTTTTTCTTAACAAAAGGGAAAGGTATCTTGAAGAGTTTGGCTCTGGAACTGCTCTCAAAGGTGGGGTTCTTCAAAGTTCTTTGGATATCCAGTTCTTGTTTCTAGGTATGGATATCTGTTTTCATTCCCATCATATGCATATATCATGATTAGGTTTTGTTTTTACTAAGTTTGTTTTCAAACTTTGTATATGCTGAAGGATGAATGTGTCCATGGTTTTGTTTATATCCTGATGACATTTTAAAAAACGTGTGTGTTAGTTTGTTTTGGTTAAAGTATTTTGATTTCTGCTAAGTTTAAAATGATTAAGAGTACTATTGGTTTGTGAGTTCATAACCTGTTCCATACTTCCGTTTAAGTAAACCTGTGGAGTTTTGGTTTCTTTAGGTCATGCTGCTATTGTAAATAATGTTTGTTTGTTGGTTGGTGTTTAGATCTGAACCATTTTGTGGAACATGCTTATGTTCAGTTTTGAAGCAGATCTTTTGCCTTGAATATCATGATACCTGCTACTAAAACATTCTGCTGTTGTGGGTCTATTTGTGTAACTTTCATGTCTGGATCTTGACTTTTAGCTTCCACTTAGGGTTGATAATCTCATATGCTTCAATTTCACTTAAGACTTAAAAGAAACCTTAACTGTTCGTGTATGGTTGATCATGATGTGTTATGTGAATCTGATGTTAACATGCTATGTGGTCAGTCTTGAGTTCCCTTTTGCTAGGGGTTTTGTTCTTGCTTGATGTTCAGACATGAGGTTGTGTTTTGTGGTAGTGTAAAGTTTGTTGCCTTTTTGCTATGTATGTGCTGTGGTTATGTTTGAGTTACCAACATATAGCAGCAGGATGCCTAGGGTATTTTATTTGATTCTCTCACAATTCCAAGTTCCTGTCCTGTTGTTTATCCTTTTTGTTTGATTGAAGTTCATGACCTTAGTATTGGTCTAGGTCGAGTTTTGTCCATGTGGTAGTTTTTATGTACTTTGTTCAATTAGGATGTATTGCTGCCAGTTACAGATGTACATTATTTGAAGTGCTGCAAGTCTAGATTTCATGTTTGGTCTATATGTCAGTAGGTGTTGTTTGCTGTGTTTGTGAAGCATCACATTCACTTTTGTTTTAAACTTGTATATGAAGCAAAACGCAGGGTGTTTGTCTTAGTGTAATGACAAGTTATACAATGTGTTGTTGTCTTGATGTGCAGAATTTGTGTGTGCTTTGTGTATGTTATGTTCATGATAGGTGGT